TATGATCTGTTCCCAGCTCTGTGAAATGTGTCCTCTGTGATCTCAGGCAAATCACTCTGGGCTGTGCTYCTCCCCACAACCTGTGGAAGATGCCGGGGTCCCACAGCAAAGGACAAGAGAGAGTCAGTTTTGCTCTTTGCTCCTTTGAAATTAGCTCACAGAGCTGGGATAGGTCCCTTTCTATGTCTGACTACTCCACTTCAAGTTGCAGGTATCTATAAAGGTACCACAAGGCCCCAAAGTGTAATAGGAACCATTCCTATAGGTACAGGTATGGATTCACCCTCCCCTGCCCTTATGGAGCAACCCCTGCTAAGCAGAACACAGCCTTAAGAGGTTTTCCAGAATTAACATCAAAATATTTTTCAAAAAGGAATTTAATGAGATGACACCCACATTCTGAGATGAAATCATTCTAGATTACCATTTTCACTCCCTTCCTGCCCACTCCCTTCCTCTCTGGCATGATTTTTAGCAGCTAATATCAATATGGATGTTAGGAGTTAGGAATTATATAATGAGCCAAACCTTATCAGTGATGCCTCTTAATCCCAGGTGAGGATGAAATGTTAGTGCCTTCTCAGTTATGAAGATTGTGGTAATGAAATTTCACATGCCATATAGCTGGCTGGAAAACACTTGGCAGATAAAGAGACAGCTAAAATCTTTCTGGAATTGAATTGGAATGAGAAGGGCCAAAAGGACATGAGGTGGTTAAAGAATCAACTGGTGTTGCAGGGACAGTTARGTGGGCAGGAACCAAATGATCCAGACAAGTGCCCTCATCATTAAAGGCAGTTTTTGACCAATTTTCCAGTGCAAATAGGGACTGAATGCTGACCCAGGAGCTGTCACTGAAGAGAGAGTAGTAAAGCATATTAAAATCTTTGAATGGAAAGTGCTTTGGAAATGTGTTATTTTAATTTTAGTTTGTRTAGTAGATATTACTATATATTTTATTATTAACTTTTTTTCTTCCTGAAGATCATGCAAAAATATAAGCTACTTGTCTGAAAACTATATTCCACTTTCAGCATGCTACCCATGCTGAACACTCATTGTCCCTTGTCATCCCCTTGTCATCCCCTTGTCATCCCCTTGTAGGGACTGAACATGAATTAGCCAAAATGGTATGGGACACCACAATTTTGATGGAAATTTCCCTCCTTGTTTTGGTATTAGGATGTTGTGTTTCAAACCTCTGTAATTTTTTTTTTTTTTTCATTTTATTTAAGGCTGGATTTTGTTCTTTTGGAGGGATGATTTATTGTAAGCGGCTGTGAAAAGACATTAGGAGAGCAAATAGCCCCTTGGGAACAAAGAGTCACAAGACAGAAAAAACAGCTGTTGAGACTATAACACAGTCTCATGTGCCAACATGCAGCAACAATATTCAAARCAGGGAAAGAAGGCCAGTGTCTTTATTTGGAAGAAAAACCAACCCTGCWCCAAACTGAACAAAGATGTAAACATCTAAAAAACTGGCAGATGGATCAGAGCTGTACACAACACCGGAAGAGAAGGAGAAATTGCCATGTGTGGGAGGGGGTGAAAATGGAGATGAAGCTTCTGTTATATCTTGGGAACCAGAATAAATCAGTAACATTTGAGAAAGTGCAGTGACAATTAAACTGGGTAGCTATGAAGCACTAAATTTATTGTCAAGTTTAGCAGTGGGAGAACCAAATAATTCACTGATATATATCAGGCTCCTTGAAGGCAATGGTGCTAGTGTGGATTGCTAACCTCATGATTTGCCCTTTGATTCTGAGAGTGACAAAATTGTTYATACATATTTTAGATTATTTTGCAATATATAACTTCACACCAATGAAGTATTTTAGTGCATTCTGTTTTGGCTGATGATTGGGATAATCTATAGATAACAGTAATYCATGATTATAGCTCAGCTTGGTATCAGAAAACTCTGAAATGCATTTAAAAATGGATCTTTTGTTAGAATGAGTATMTGTAAGCTGCTTTTTGGCAGCACCATCTGACAGGAAAGGACTGTGTCTTCCTCACCTTGGGATAATCCTGGACAKTTAAAGTAGGAAACTTTAATATAAATAAGTAGAATAATTTTTGACATTAAATAGTTGGGGAACAAATAAGAAAGGCCAGACTTTATCTACTTGGTGAAATCTCATTTTCTTCTGGAGCAGGCTGCAGTTGACCTTTCAAGAATTTGCCTAAGTGCCAAACAAGCATCTTGGTGGAAGCGGAAGACAGAAAATGAGTAGAGGAAGGGACAGTTTTACTCCCACAAACTCCTAGAAAATGGATGAACCACTGGGCACTATGTGTGTATCAGTTATCTGCTGTAGTCCTTGGATATTTTAGAWCAGATCCAGAGAAATACCACAAAAATGATCAGAGGGCTGGARCAYCTCTCCCATGAACACAGGCTGAGAGARTTGGGGTGGTTCAGCCTGGASAGGAGAAGGTTCCAGCAAGACCTTACAGCAGCTGTCTGGTACCTGAAGGGTGGTAGAGAAAGATGGTCACAGATTTTTTTACCAGGGCCTGTAGTAATAGGACAAGGGTGAGTGTTTTTAAACTGAGAGAAGACAGATTCAGATTGGATACAAAGAATTTTTTTTTATGATGAAGGTGGTGAAGCTCTGGAACAAGTTTCTCTGAAAAGTTGTGAATGCTCAAACATTGGAAGTGTTCAAGGCCAGGTGGAATGGGGCTTTGAACAACCTGGTCCAGTGAAAGATGTCCCTGCCCATGACAGAGAGGTTGAACCAGATGACTTTCAGAGGTCCCTTCCAAACCAAACCACCCTGTGATCCCATGATTTTGTGATTCTAAGCCACAGGAATGCAAAAGGTGTTGTAACTCATACTAGACCCTGAGCCAGAGCTAATGCAGACCCCAGATGAGCTTCTTGCTTCCAGACCTCTGCTGAGCACCCTTGAGAACAAACAGTTTCTGTACTCTACCACTTGCTGCCAAAACTAAGGAGGGACCAATCCTGGCACCACACTCCCCTAGTGACAGTGTCACACTTAAATACACCCAGCTCCCCAGCTAGCTCATGGAGACAATTGTAACTAAACACATGATTTATGAGAGAAAATGCTAATGCCACCATTAATTTGAGATCTCAGTCACAAAAAAAAAAATGTCCTACTATAATTTTACATCAATGGAATTTGGTTGGYATCGTAATTTGGTCTAATAAAGGCAAGAGTAAAGCAAATAACCATTATTTTATTTGTATACAAGGGATTCCCCTTTAATACAGCTCTAATTTCTATAAGAATTGAGTGGCCTGCACTCACAGACTATGCCTTAAAACTTGGGTACTTGTTTTCTGGAATCATTTGCACTTTGTAATGCCTTTTCAAAGCCCTCTTTTCTCCCAGCTTTGCCTTTCCTCGAGTTTTCCCAGGCTGATCAATCATCAGATACTCTGCCCTGCAGGTAGCTCTTTTCAACTCCAGCTCCACAGTGAATTCAGAAAGAGGATGCTTAATAAACTCTCYTTTGTCACCCACAGAGTAGTCCAATTCATATTSCTGTTAAATGAAAAGCTTATCTCCMGCCACAAATGGCTTTTTACCAAATATGCAGAAACTCTCTATATTTAAATTTTGGGATCTCATCCTGGGGCTGCAGCTGTGGCATCTAAAATTCAGTTTTTATCAATAACATTCAAGGTCACAAAGCAGGGATTGAGGCATCCCTTGCCCTCATTGACTTCCAGGTCCTGCAATGTAACTTTGAGCAAATCCTGGACCAAGAAATGCTTTGGCTGCTGCTCTCCCTTTTGTTTGATCTGAGAATGCTGAACCCAGGGGAGTAGCTGAATGAAATTGTTGTTTTGCTATAAATAATTCATAACTATCCAAAGAGCTTTCTTCAAATACAAAAARTATGTCTTTCACTGAGGGATTCCCTTTAAATTTTTAAAACCAATTTTTCTTTTTTCAGAAATTAGAAAGAGAGATCAGTTAAGCAGTGGGGAGTGTGTGTTTGCTTGTCTGTTTCTGTGATGGCTGAAAAATTGTAYGGATCTTGATCTTTCCTCGCACACATATCACACTGGAACAGGCCTTGATCTTATTTCACACAAATGTAGCTACACAGACTTCGATGACAGCCTCTTGCTAATTATGTCACTGAAATGTAAGAGATTCACTGTGCCATTTTGCTCATACATAACAGCTTAAGCAGATTTTCTTCTAACACTTGTAAAAACAAATTCTAGGTAAAGTATGAAAATCATAATGAAATTCTGAACTAGGTATTCGGGAAAGCTACAATATACAGAAGAGAGGAATTTTGGATAAAATACTTCTCTTTTCAACTAAAACAYCAGCCCTGTCAGATTAGATACATCAAGCACCTTATCTGTGGGAAGATTCCCACGAAAAAGTATTGAGTCTCAATGGGAAATATTTTCAATGAGGTTCTACAAAGCAGAAATTGTCCCTGGTATTGGTGGAGTTTTGGGTTTTTTAAAAATCAGTTTTACAGTCAGCTCAGGGTCTTATTCAAGGGAAGTCACAARCTGATAGTAAAAGTGATTAAACCAAATCAAACAATTGTTCTGCTCAGTATGATGAGGGTAAATCTGTCTACTTATGAAGCTGAAATGTTTCTCCTGTTAGGGGTGGAAAAAAAAATTACCATTATTTTTACTGTTATCATCCTTGGCTTGRAGTTAAGGGATGCTGCAACTCCCACACTTCTGTAAGATAACTTTGTGAAGTGTATTTTAATWGTAAATTGATACAGCTTAGTATTAATTGTCAATAAATCAGATTGTTTTTCTGAAAGCCTGAATACATGCCTTCGAGATGTTTGCGGGTTCCTTCTCTTAAATGCACCCATTCTGAAATTATGTGAGTGGTATCCTCCTACATACAAAGCACACAAAGAAATGTTATGGCTAAATAAATTCAGAAATGCACTTCTACCAGCTTTGTATATGCATTTAATCTTTCTTTTATATATTTTCTTTTTCTTTTAGTAAGTGATGGAATAAACAACCCTTTCCTTTGAATGGATTATAGTACATGTGAACTGCCTGTTACCCTGCAAGGATCAGAAAAGCTCTTTGCTTTAATTTGTTAAATATCAGCTTCATAGCAAAAAGCATCTGAATGGCTCACACTCATAGCAGACCACCAGTTGAATGGGATCAGCATTTCTACTAAAATATCTGAAGTTAAGGATTTGGAAAAGAGGTTTTTGCAGAGATGACCCATTTACAAGCTGGACTTAGTCCAGAGACTATAGAGAAAGCCCGGCTGGAACTGAATGAAAACCCAGACATTTTGCACCAGGATATCCAGCAAGTCAGGGATATGATCATCACGAGGCCTGACATTGGGTTTTTACGTACAGATGATGCCTTCATCTTGAGATTTCTCCGAGCCAGAAAGTTTCACCAAACTGAGGCCTTCAGACTGCTGGCTCAGTACTTCCAATACCGCCAATTAAATCTGGATATGTTCAAAAACTTCAAGGCCGATGATCCAGGAATCAAACGGGCTCTGACAGATGGGTTTCCKGGAGTACTGGAAAATCGCGACCACTGTGGCAGGAAGATTCTTCTGCTTTTTGCRGCCAACTGGGATCAGAGTAGGTAAATGTAGATAGTGTCCTTATCTTTTTACACATGCTCACATTCTACTCAGAACATTTGTGACCATCCTTGAACCAGCAAGGCCATTTTCAGCAAAAGATTTTGCAACCAATATCCATTTCGCTAGAACTTCCATCTCACCTGATCACAGTCATTTATCATTTTTAGGATATAAGACCATTGAGACATAAAGGTATATCAGTGTGTCATGTAACAGTTTATGTTTGGGGGTTTTTAAAAGAAATATTTCAAAATTTTAGCTAACATCTTTTTGCTATATATACGTTAATGCTATCATACAATTGCTTCAGCTGTATCATAGACCAGCCAAACAGGTTGACAGAAAGCAAGTGTCTCAAAACATATGGAAGTTCTTGTAGCTCTCCTGGTGCAGAAGAAACTGACAATATTTATTCTTTCTTCAGACTTTCTAACAGATTTTTTGTTTGTTTGWTTGAACCATTTCGGGAATTGCAGCTGCTGCTATATTTCCATGAACTGCATTGTGATTTCTACACACTCTGGTTACTCTGTGTTGTTATTCTGGTGAATGGAAGCCTCACACAAAGCATATTTTCTGTTCAGGTCATTTCTTTACAAAGATATCTCTCAGCCATTATTATAAAATAATGTCCTTAACTGTTAATGTGATTAGTCAGCTTTCACTGCCTATTTGAAGTGATACTTCAAAAGAGAAAAGGGGTTAGTCCAGGAATATCATGTTCACATTGTCCCCTTCTTTGCAAGTCATTCCATTTTCCCTGCCATTGAGAAGGAGAAGAGTGATCAGTTGTTGGGTTACCACGTGTTCTGTTGAATCTTGACAAAAATCATAAGAGAGAAAAAAAATCAGATTCAGGTTTTGAGTATCATCAGTTCTGATGATTTTCAGATAGGATTTTGTCTTGCCATGGTCCAAACTTTTTGATGAAAATGTCTGATTGTTAGGAGTTAATAGATTAGAGCTTTGGATTCACATAATAGAAATTATCAGAGAATACATGTATGCCTGCAATTTTTCATGTAAGTTTTTTTCTGGGGAAATCTTTCATCTCCATGTGTAAAGCAGAGCTCAGAAGTGATTCTGATTTTCGTTCGCATGTGAATAAATGTACAGAAAATTACACAGAAGTGTAACTTTGCATAAATAAATGTGTTTGGTGAAACGGTGAACTGAGGTCARTTATAAAMGTCCTGATAACTACAAAGAGGCCARCAGTTYATCTCCTGTTTTTCTRAGCTGCAAGTTTGCCTTTCTTTTGACCACAAAACTCTTTTGTTAACAATTGGCCTGAATASGAAGATAAATGCACAGGTATCTGGAATTAATAGAAAGCATCAGCTTTAGAGAACAGAAGAACTGTGGCTCTGCTGGCTGCTTTAAAGGATTTAGGTATTATACAGAGCCAGCTTTGGGTTTCTGATCCCTCAACAAAATGAATCTTTGAGATTAACCTTCTACATCAGGTCCTCCTCTTGGAAAGTTGAGAGTGCTGCTGTCTACGACTCCTGCAATGAGATTKTGACAAAATAGTGATTCCTGTCAGATTTTGGCTCAGATTTTCTGGAAGTACTTTAATATGCATCCATGTACACATGTGTGTATGTCTGTGCTTGCAAACACCAAAGCAACTCTGCATGCTTCTGAAAATATAATTTTAACCCTCAAGGAAGAAAAGCTGAGGCAAATAGCATAGAATTTACTTTGATAAGATTCTTCAGTGAAATTAAAAATCGTGTACAAATCTTACTTCAGTTCAGCCACTGAAGCTCATCTCTTCTGTGGATTCGGATGACTAGAAGTGATTTTTCCATGGGCTTTTCTAGTGCTCCAAGAGCAACAGGGATTTGGGACAGGATTTGGGCTCTTAMGTAAATGGATGTCCTCTTCATTTTTTGCTGTCTAAAGGCATCAACAAGAGGAGCAGGAAATGGTGAGTGTAATGTTGTATAAAGCAGCATGGAAGCAGGTTATGGACCAGAAGAAACATAAATTTCACAAAAAACTTCCAACAGGCACTGTGCACGCCTTATATAAATCTATCTTGAGCAAACTTTCTGCAGATGTGTCTTTAGTGATGGCAAGATGTTCACAAGCTCACATTTCAGTGGCATTAAATTGGCCATGATGTTGACATGCAAGAGTAAAAGCTCACCCTTTGGCATGCCCTTCCTAACTTTAATCTGATTTGCTGCTGGYTGTGCCTTCTCTTTCTTTATGATCAATTTATGGACTATTTACAAAGAAWTAATAATTTATAAAGGATATTTTGAAACCAGCATAGCTATAATCCATAAATTCATTTCCATTCTGGACATTTTTACCATTTATGCAGCTGGGAGTATGGTTTCTGTTGGTGTCACATGTCAGAGAGGCAAAAGAAACCTTGAGACTTTCTGTGCTTATAAATAATTTTTTTTTTAAAGGAAATGTCATTATTTGTGTAATTTTACTGCTTGGACAAATTGGATCCAAGATGTTTTTAAGGCATTCCCTGCATCAAAGACAGAATTTCCATGTGAGCTTCTAGAAATAATTGTAATTTCCAGCTCAAGAATGTAACTGATAGATCTGACATCTCTAGCAAACTAGGTTTTAATTTCCAGTCTCAATGTTTCCAGCTTCAGCTTCCAGCTGCTAGATTGTGTTAGTTTGAATGTACCACAAAAATATGACAGCTTCCCATRTTTGTAATTTTGTGTCCTGACCACRTCATRTTTAACCTATTTTTGAGTTCACTGGGGAGGCAGCACTGTAGGGTGAGTCCCTGTCAGGCAATGAGAAAATCCTGCCTTAGCTCCTCTGCAGCAGAGGTTCTTGTGCTCACCTTTAACCACAGTGAATGCAAAACAGCTCACACCCTCCTACTTGAGGAAAAACAACCTTGAGTTGTCCACAAGGTAAAGTATCCCCTGTGGGCAGCCAGCACAGCAAAGATAACRTTCTGCAAAGTAATACACTAGCTTAACGTATCACAATATATTTAAGCTGCCAAAGCTTAAATAGTTTTAACTTCCAGGATTGGGAAGAYTTTCCAGGTTTCAAACACTCTTTATCACTCTTTTCTGGACTGTTCCTATCATTTTAGTGTTGTTGCTAAGGTGCAGGTGGATGAACTGAATAAAAATTTCACTTATAAATCCTCAAATGGTAACACTATCTTTTCCGTTCAGTAAATTCTTCCTTTTAGGTACAAGATTGTCACTCTGTTCTTAACTACTSTATCCCATTTTGAGCTCATGTTCAGCTCAAATTTGCTTTCAAGTCAGTTTCCTAAAATACGAATGCCACTGGTAAATGTGTCATACATCCTCATCCATAATGTGGGCACAGTCTAGCATGTGATTCACGCTCTTGTGCAGTCCTAAACGTGTCCTGCTCACCAATTATCATTTCAAGGGGTTTGCGACATCTGCAAAGCTCACTGGCAAGAATTTTATTTTTGTTTCCACATAGTTAAAAAATGTAATGAGGATTATTTTGACTAAAACTTCTTTGATGACCRGGAAAAAACCACAGGGGAGGATAATTGTTATTGGCAAATCACTAGCTGAGATCTATCATGGTTCCAGAGTTACAGTAATTATTCATGTGCAGCACAGGTTTAATTTGTCTCCATTGTTCAGGAAGATTTCTTAGAGATGATGTCATCACTTTCTCTCTAGGTCCTGCCTAGCATATTTTGGATCTGTTAGTTAATGTTAATCACATATTCAAGACCTTCATTTTCACTTATTCAATATTGAATTGAATATTTATTGAATAGTTATTATTTATTCAATATTGAATTCAATRTTGAATAAATGRAAATGAGTAGATGGAAGAGATCATATAAGTTCCATAGTGAGGGAGAAGAAAACTGTTGAGCTATATTACTGTAGGAGGGACAGGGGAGGAACATTTTTCACTTTAAACAGAACTCAAGGTGTGAATCCACCYGAAACCCACAAAGACTTTGCTTACACCACTGCTTACAAAGCACCTTATTTTTTAATGCAAATTGTGGACCAATAAAGACAGATAAGGATGTCAAACTGATCAGGTAACAGATTTTTTAAATGAAATAATTTGCATTATAAAAAATTGCAATTTATAAAACAAACACATGAGTACATACGGTTTTGACGAGACCTGAACCAGGATTTCATGCAAAAAACAATGCTCCATGTGCTGGATTGCAAATACTCTTTCTTACCATTTTTCATTTCCTCACTCTCACCAAACATAAGCTCTCACTCCTCTTGTGCACCTGTAGTGGCACTGAAGCTTTTAGGATTTTAGGTAAGAGAGCCTTCTCTGCTGTTGGATTGAGGAAAGCCTTCAGTATTTTCCACAGCTGTTCCTTGGTCTGCTACTGCCTTCTAATACATGCTGCTTATACACCAAGGAGATGGAGCTTTGGGTGAACAAGTGATTCATCAGAAGGTGTTCATTAATCTTTCAAACAAAAATATTTCTTTCAAGATTGTTCAGCCAGAGTAAAATTTGGTTTTGCATAGACAGCCAGCAGAAAGACTGCAATCACAATCCTTTGCAAATAAAGGTTTGGGGTAGGGGTTTTCCATGGTCTTTTGCAGTAAGATGGTGATTAATTTTTGTCTTCATGTCTGTGCCTTAGAAGCTGTCACAAACCTCCAAAAATTCTGTGAGTCAGACAGAGAAAACCTGCTGCTTTGTTTACAACATACAATCCCAAGTCAAATGCTGGYCATAAACCATCTTTTATTATTGTTAACCAAGGAATCTCAAATGCCAGATACTTACCATTGTGTAGGGAAGTGTACTGAGCCTAAAGGGAAAGGAAATACTCTGACATAGTGGCAAAACCAACAGCTATAAATATTTTAAAGGATCRTGATAAAAACCAAGTATGTTCTTGCTGAGAATGTTCAGAGTAGTATAATTACAAGGATATCATCATCATAGATTTTGTTGCTATAAAAGAATGTCTCAAGTGCTGATTGTTTCGATATATTTCCAGCATAATCTCAGATGTTTA